CAGGACCCCGGGATCATGACCTGAGCTGAAGGCATATGCTTAACCACTGAGGCACTTGGGCGCCCTGAGCCTACAAAGTCATGATTGCCTTCAGCTCAAAACAGTCTGCATGCTAAAGTGGCTTTTTGGGGAAGATTTGTCCTGAGCCTCTTCATCACAATAACAATAATCATTATCATTATAACAATAGCTAAATTTTACTGAGCATTTATCATGTGCCAGACACTGTGCAAAGTGCTTTATATTTATTATATTCACTACAAAAACTCTATAAACTAGACTCCATAATCTTTATTTTACCAATAAGGGAATTGATGCTCGAGAAGTTAATTTGCTAGAATCACAGAGCTAATATCCAGTGGCGCCAATATTTGAGTTTGGATCTGTCTGACTGCAAAACTCCTGCTCTTAGTCAGTAGATTATTCTCTCGGATTGCAAGACCTTTCTCACCTACTTCTGGGGAGTCTTTCCAAACTTAATTTTAAAGCTCAGATCTTGATCTCACCATTTGGCCAATACGACACTAATAATTGCTGTAGGTAAGAATTATCAACAGGTAGTAAAATTAGTGGGACAAAGTTTGATAAGAAACAGGATATATGCATATTTTCAAAGTATCTCAACACAAGATATTTATTAATTATAAAGAGAGGAGGAGTAACTTTATAGTGGAGAAACCAGGCACAAAGCACCATAAGCATGTAATGAAACTTAACATACAAACATCTTGTGACTCCTGAAATGATGTACTGAGAAGCGCACAGCATCACTTCTGTGGTATTCTTGCCAAAAACCTATAACCTGAATTTAATCATGAGGACATTAGGTATATTCAACTTGAAGGTCATTCTACAAAATAACTGGCCAGCACTCTCCAAAAGTGTCAATGTCATAAAAGACAAAGAAACACTGAGGAACTACATTAGATTGAAGAAAATATGAGAAAAGAAATACGAGAATATATAAGAATATAAGAAAATATGAGAACTAAATGCACTGTGTGATTCTGGATTGGATCTAGGACCATAAAAAACCAAAAAACATTTGTGTGACAATTAGTAACATTTGAATAAGATCTGTATATTAGTTAATAGTATGATATCAAAGTTAATTCCCTGATTTTCATAATGATACTATCTTTTTTAAGTTAATTAATTAATTTATTTGACAGAGAGAGAGAGAGAGCACAAGCAGGGGGAGCGGCAGGCAGAAGGAGAGGGAGAAGCAGGGCTCCCTGCTGAGCAGGGAGCCCGACGTGGGGCTCCCTCCCAGGACCCTGGGATCATGACCTGAGCTGAAGGCAGACACTTAACTGACTGAGCCACCCAGGCACCCCTTTAATTGTACTATCTTTATGTACGTTGTGAAGCTGGGTGAAGGATACATGAGAAGTGATTTTTACTTTTCAGTGATGAGTTGTTGGTTGTTGTTTTTTTTTTCCTTTGGCACCTTTTTTGTAAGTCTGAAATTATTTTAAAATAAAAAGTTTAAAAAAAGCCTCATCTCCCCAGTTTACTTGTTAAAAGTTGTTTACCCATCAAAATCATGTCTGAACTAAAAGTAAATGGACTGTAAGTACGTCTCCACCAGCTTTCTCATCTGTTCTGCATTCTGTATTCTGTCTCTAATAGGCTGTCATGTTCCTTTGTCCAGATGGTGCCATGCACAGTGGTGCCAGGTCTAAGAGAGAGCTATTTACACCCTAGATAGCATACACTTGTATATTCATTATGACGATTTTCTGGCAAATGAAAGAAAAATGTTTTGTGCTAACAAAATCACTGTATTATGACAGTTTATCATCATATGGAAGTAAAATGTCTTGGGAAGGGCATTTGCCCCCTAATTCACATAGAAGAACATTATGGGTCAGCAGTATTCCTGCAGGCACTCCAAAGGTACCACCAAGGCACAACCTCTGCTCCTCTACATTAGATCTTGTCACAGGCCATCTCCTGGCAGGAGGGATAACCCCTTTCCTCACCTAACCCTCAGCAACACAATGGAAGCCTTCTGTCAGACTTTTCAAATGTGCTGAGGCATGACGTCCCCAGGTTGGTTGTGGGACCAGCCAATGCATAAAGAGGAATTGCAACAGAAGCAGTTGTCAGACCTCAGAGCTATGAGATAGATAGTTGATTCTCAAAGTTTTCTCCAAAGTTCGCTGAACAGCATAGACCATTATATCAGGTAAGATGCTGTGGGCTGCCAGGTACAAAAAAATCCAGTTCAAACTAGCTTAAACAGCGACGGAGTTTAGCTCAAGCAGTCCAGAGCTCAGAAGGGTTCCAAGCCCAAAGCCATGAAGGCTCCACTCCATTTATTTGATATTCTCTTGGTTTAGTCTTCCTTTGTGTATCAGTTTTGTCTCCAGACTAGGGCTCTCATTGTTAATAAATGATTTACAGGAGCCAATGGGGACATATGTTTCTTTGTTCATATTCTACAGAAGAAAAAGAAAAGAGATATTTGCACATCCGTGTTCACTATTCACAATAACCAAGAGGTACAAGTAACCCAAATGTCCACCAATGGATGAATGAATAAAACTTAGTGTATATATATATATATGGAATATTATTCAGCCTTAAAAACGAAGGAGATCCCTGTCACAAGCTACAACCTAGATGGACCTTGAGGACATTATACTAAGTGAAATAAGCCAGTCACAAAAAGGCAAATATTGTAGAATTCTATTTATATGAGTTATCTAAAGTCAAATTTATAGAAAAAGAAAGCAGAAGGATACCTGGTGGCTCAGGTGGTTAAGTGCCCGACTCCTGATTTCAGCTCAGGTCATGATCATCCGGGTCGTGAGACTGAGCCTTGCAGGGGGATCCAAGCTCAGTGGGGACTCTGCTTGGATTTTCTCCCTCTGTCCCTCTCCCCACTTGCATGTGCACACACTCATACACACACTCTCTCTCTAAAATAAATGAATAAATCTTAAAAAAAAAAAAAAAGAAAGCAGGGGCGTCTGGATGGCTCAGTTGGTTAAGCATCTGTCTTCAGCTCAGATCATTATCTCAGGGTCCTGGGATAGAGCCCTGTGTCGGGCTCCCTGCTCAGCAGGGAGTCTGCTTGTCCCTCTGCCCCTCCCCCCACTTGTGCTGGCTCTCTCAAATAAATAAATAAAATCTTAAAAAAAAAAGTTAGCAAAAAGAGACTGCAACAGTAGCCCATGACTGCGAAAGAAACAGGCAAGAGTAATGATGGTGGAAGTGTGAAACATATGTAGACAACACCCCAAAAGAAAGAGGTGAAAACGTGAACAGTGGTATTCTTTGGGTGATAGATCTTCAGGAGAGTTTTTCTTTGTACTTTCAGTCTTCTTGAATTTTTTCCATAATTTATATGACATGTTTAAGATGTTTAGTCCGAGATGTTTAGAACTGTGGTAACCACAAAGATTGTGAGTCCAAGGGTCTCACTTATGAAAACCTGAATGTTACAAACCCTATTTTGGCTGTTCGAAGGGCTCATGCCACCTCCCCCATCCTTGCTTTTTTATTTTTAATGTGTTTTTGACAGTTGAGGTCAATATAAAAATTCTACTGCAAATATAAAAATAAAGATAGATCCAAAATTCAGGGGCTGTTTTCTCAGTGATTTAACTCCTTAGCCATTAAAAAATCGATTTCTGAGTAATAAAAAATTGCAAGTAAATTAATTTAGAACAAAATAAAATTTTTGGTTGAAACAGGATTAAAGTAAGTCTTCCATCTACAAAAATGGAATTATTGTTCAAAGGAATATAATTCAAGAATCTCCTGAAAGCACATCCATGTGTACAAAGTCATTACGTTTACTTCTCCCTTACATAATGCATGTATTACCGTTTGCGAAGCTGCCTAGGTTTGTTCCATTTAAATGCTCTTTGACAGTGTTGCCACTGTGTTTCTGGCAAGCACAGCTTTACGTAAGCATAAACCATATGGAAATTCCAAGATTAGAATAATTTGGATTCTATCCTCAGGACACACGGTGTTTATCAGTGTAAGATGATGGAATGTCCCTCTGTAGGTGAGATAGGTGTGGGTTTGGATTGCCATCCCATCTCTGTTAAGACTCAAGTCGCAGGATCTCGTCCACTGGCGATCTCCATCAGAGTAGCCAGGGGGCCACTCTCAGCTGGAATCTGCAGCTGTCCCTCTCCCCTGCCCTGGGGCGCCTGCCTTGAGGCAATGGGAGTACATACGTGTTCTATTGAACTGGATGTGAGTCCTAGCTCTGCCTCTTACTGCTGTGGGCTTTGGATTGTTCAGTTACCCAATTTTTGCGGCAGGAATATTCACTGAGAATCAATTTTTCATGTTCTCCATATCCTGTGCTTACCACTCCCTTGCTAAGAAGACTCTTGGTATTTTCTTGCCTCAGCGTTTTTTTTGCACAAGGAAAGCAGACATTTCCACGGAGCAGCTTTTCTTTCTTTTTTCTTTTTTTCAAGGTTTAAATAGACTTTATTGTTACAAGGAGGGCCCTACCAAGTAGGGCCTTATAAACCAATATATGTGGTCCCAGGATGTCACCATGGAGAAATGGAGAGGTCATGACTGCAGAAGAGGTCATTGTAATTGAAGGACATGATCCTGAGAAGACTGGTCAGGGATGCAGCGGACATGATCAGGAGAGGCCAGGGGTGGTCAGGTCACAGGGTGAGGGACAGGACAGCCCCCTTCACTCCCACTTCTTGTAGCTCTCCAGATGCGAGAGGACCCAGCCCGATGGCAGGAGGAAACACAGGAAGCAGGAGGTGAGCCCAACGGCAACATCCATGGTCCTGAGCTCCTCCCGCGGAGGCTTGGAATGGATCTGGGCACGCTGCACTGGGAGCCTCCGGGTGAGACCTGTCAGGCCCCTCAGCAGCTGCGCCGTAGACAAAGACATGACCGCATGGAGTGATGACAGTTGCCAGCTACTGCCCAAGGTCGGGAAGTCCAGAGCAGCTTTTCTTTTATAGAAGTTCAAATTCTGCTAGATTCTGCCAGGTGTCCTTAGGAGGAGAGGAGAAAGGGAGACTCTTTGAGGGCAATAGGAAGGAAGAGACAAATACCTCCCTGTCACTAAAAAAGGGGTGTTTGGGGGGAAAGCAGATCCAGAGAGATCTGCTTGCACTCAGTGCAGAGGCCGGAGGAGGAAGCCAGCACTCAGGGAGGATGACTGTGCAGTGAGGTATATCTTGAAATACTGAATCCTAAGGGCTGGCACCCCAGCCTCTCAAAGATCCTCGACATCCTACATCACACAGAGCCATGGCATGTCCCAATCCAGAGGAAACTTTTCTGGTACAGAAAACAGGCATCTACCAGATTCTTGTGCACATCGAAGAGGGAGGAGAGGACAGGCCCTCTCCATGCTTTGGTACATGGGCCATGATCCAAAATCCTGTGAGGAAAGCCCCGGAACGGTTTAGATGCCATTTCCTGACATTGCAGTGGAATCGTGCTAGGAGCTGGTTTGAATTAAATTGAAAAAATAAAGTAAATGGGCATTTCTCACACATTTGGTATTGTGTGCATCCTTCTATGTGTGTCTGAGCCTCTATTTCTTCATCAGGTCCTGGAGATCAAAACACTTGTCTCACAGGTCATTGAGGGGATTAAGCAAGGTTAAAACGTGAGGCCCGGGAGAACGCTTCACGCATATTTACTAGGTGCTCACTTGCTGCTGATTCTCTGAAATAGTTTTTTTACTTTTTTCTCGCCAAGATGGGACGGCCAGTACAAATGGTAGAAGTTGGTACCAGGACTTCTGGAAGCCCTGGGGCTGGGGAAGGTCGAGAGGCAAGGTTTTTAATAGTAGTAATAATGATGGCTACCATTTATTAAGAACCTATTCCAGGTCAGACACCTCTGGACTATAAATCATGTCAGTGGTTTTTAAACTGTTCTGCAGAGTTGCAAGATTCCCTGGAAGGTTCAGGAGGTGCAGTGGAGAGCAAAAGGGATTCCAGTGAGTTCATATTCACAGTCACTTTCTCTACTTCAACTAGATCAGTTTTGCTTTTACCTGCTTAATATATTGATCCTCTACAAATGATTTTATCTGAAGGGTAGTACGTCTGTTAAACATGCTTGAGAACTTCCACAACGATGCTGGGTCCAGATGGCAGTAAAAACATGTTCTTTAGACTTCCTCTCCTGGTCTAAACCCTAAAACTAATCTAAAATATATATGTCAATATATATATATTATATATAAAGTATATACATCAATATATATAATATCTGAAGATGATGCTGACTTACAAGATGAATTACTCTAAATGAACCAAAAATTCTGGGGGAACTGCTGAAAGACAGAAAGTAGGATTGGGATGACACGGAAGGAGGGAACCACTGTCCAACCTTAATGAAGAGGACACCTATAAATCGTGAGAGAGGCTTCAATATTGCTCCAAGCTTGGGGAAAGTGGATATGGGGAGCAGGAGACAGTCCCAATCCAACATTTAGTGTGATCTGAGTAACATTACAGCCGAAGGAACAATCAAGTTCCTCCTTCCACCTGTGCAATGCAGCAAACAGAAAAGACAATTCCTGTGAAAAGGACCACTTGGGCATTACCAGCAGGGTAGTACCCAAGAGGCATGTGTATCCCAAAAGAAAACGGGAGTTCCCAGGCCCGGAGAAATTGCTAATGGTCTACCCAGTCTGGTAGCATGTCCTACCTCTCCCCAAGAACCGTAGGAAGCAGAAAACAAGAAACAGGTAAGTACGCAGACATGTAGGCAGGCTAACAGGCAATTGAAAATGCAAACATGACACAACCAAGAATCACCAAACATTTGAAGAAAATCAAAGAGGAGTTCCAAGAAGGAGAGAATAGAAGGAATGGAGGACAGGAAACACTACAGAAAAATAGAAGGATGAAATATCTCATTGTCAATGAAAGGCATGAAACTCCCAATGAAAGGGCCCATGAATGCTGCTTAGAATGAACAGAAACACAAAAAAAACTCAGATCACACCTAGCCACTTGAGGGTAACATTTTAGAAAGCTAAAGATAGATGATATTTTTTTCTTACTATCCCTAGATAAATTAACAGCTAATGTAAAGCATATTATTTGGGAGAGGAAGGAGAATTCTATCTTTCATTAGACTTTTGTAAAAATGACAGAAAAAGCCTGATATAGGAATAGGGTCCACAAATTTAATTACATAAGCCTAGTTCCTAGAGTCTGGCTCACAATACAGTTTATTGTCTTCTGGTGGCTTCTATATCAATTAATCGTGTGCCTGGCTGAGATTTCCAGGGCAGAACAGTGACTCCAGGCATTTCTCAGTTCACACCTGTTTTGGTGACTAATCCTATAAGATTAGATAATACTGAGGACAGAGAGCCCATCCTTCTCCTCTCTACTCAAGGATGGAGTTGCTGCTGTTTGCCTCCCCGCTGAGACTCTCTCTCCATTTCAGGCCTCTCCTGCACAACTTTAGCTCACCCCCATCCAACAGCCATGCTCAGTGGAGAACGGGAATCATCACCAGTCAGGTTATATATGGGTTCACATGATGGCAAGAGCAGCTAGGAGAGAGCTGGGCCATGAGCTAATGGGAAATAAGAGGGGCAGTCGTGATGGAGGAGCTGTGAAGACAAGACGGAAAGGAAGGCTGGTCAGAGGGGCTGCAGGATAACATGACCCGGGGCCGGGGAGTAGCAAGTCCTAGAAGTAAAGAGGATAAGCTGAATGAGTAGGAAATCAGATTTGGTGAGATCAAATAGGACAGATATGGGAAAATGCTCCCAATATAGTGTTAATTAAAAATAACATGGCCAAACCGCTTCACGACCCCCCCCCCGCCCCCTCCATGGATATAGCGTGGTCCTTGAATATACGTGTGTTTTCTTTAAATCTGTTATATACCTGCTGCTGGGAGGTGCGGAGCACAGAGTGGAGCACTGGAATGAATGCACACGGTTCCTACTCTCACAAGGTTCACAGTTTAGGACAATAGATAGCTTTGAAAGGACACAAACATTAAGAGTGATTATCACTGGTTGTAAGATTGGAGGTGAGTTTATTTTCTTTTTATAAAGTATAAGTAATATTTTCCATATATTCTACGTAGTTATTATATGCCTTTTATAATGAAAGCAATAAATCTTATAGACACCACAAATTCATAAAGCAAACTTTACTTATAAAACAAAATGCCAGGTTTTTTTTTTTTTTAAAGTCACTATCCTTTAAATATTTTATTTATTTATTTAATTGACAGAGAGAGAGA